ATTCTTAATCATAAACTGCCTTTGTATGTCAGCTTACATATAATTAGTTTTTGACCCAAATRTTACTTGTAATTAATGAAAATCAAGAAACAAAATTAGCAAAAATTGGTATTTTCTCAGCATGGGTCGTTGTATACAGCTATAATTGAAAAAAACGTTGTCGAGTCGCAACAAAGGTGATATCATCCGTAACATCGGAGGAGATTTTAAGTACTAAAATAATGCTTTTAATAATAATTTTAAACATACTACAATATAGCTTTACTTGTAGGGAATGACATTTTATTCAGCGCAGGCACGTGCAAACACTACTGCTTTTATTTTTTGGTCTTAGTGTTCACGATGTAACCTTTCGAAGCCCGGCGGCGTTTTGTCATTAATTAGGGGTAAGCTCGTGCGGCTATAGTTTTTTTTGGAGTCCGGTTCACCACTCTGTACGTCTCTGTTAGCGCATAGTCAGCTTCTACAATCAGACTCTAATTAACCAACATTAAAAATTCTACACGATCTTAATTTAATTTCAATGTAATCGTCAAGGYRCCATTTGKAATCCTAAAAACCAAAARGTGACTCTTATCGGCATTGACAGTATAAAAACTGTCYCCACAAATAGATGGTTTTGGATGTTTACTCGTCCATGTACAGCTATTTCAAAAAGCGTTGTCGGGGCAAACGGCGATTGTCGAAGAGAGAATGCACGACCGAAAGGGACTATGGTTACACTCTTTTGGCAAACGAAAATTTCACTTGTTGAATTTACCTTGCTTATAAATGRAGACTAAATTGAGCCAATTTTTACCTCAGACTATCTTACAGTATAAATCAGTTCTTATTTTCTATCAATTAGCAAGTACAATCGAAGTTCGACAATTGACATTCGCGGGCATTCTATCCGACAACCTTTCTTGAAATAGCTATATATATTAAATGCACTTTACTCCATTTTCGAATTCAAAGGAAAAAAAACGCTGCTTTACTCTCTTGCGCAAGGACCGGCTTACCGAAAACAAATAAAACATGAGAAAATGCCGTTATTTCAATAATAACCTTGAAAATTTGCTATTTCTTCGAGCTGAGACTAACSCTGTATTCCTAAAAGGTCCAAGGTTTAAGCCTTCTGGGAATACAGGGTTAGCCTCAACGCGGTGAAAATGTACTGAATTGTCTGTTAAAGCCCTATTGTACTTACAACATTTTATCTTGTGCTTTCTTTTCAGTGTTTGGTAATGTCTTAACRTATAAAGAGAATCTACTGTTAAATACAACAGCGGTTATTCGCTTTGAATTCGAAAATGGAGTATTAAACTCACTACATTATTTTAGAAGCTAGTTAACAAGCCTCGATATATATTATGTCTGCCGTGAATTAATRWAAACTGGACAAACGGCTAAGAAAAACAGCCRATTCAACGAAATATATGCGATTTTAAAGCTGTTACATTACATTACATTGCTCATTCGAATGAAAAATAACCGCGAGTCGTGAAAACGCAAAATTTACTATTAGTCCTGAGTAGCGATACCTGTGAAACCATCACAGAAAATGCTTGTTTGTTGTAATTTATAAAAATTGCTTCTTTTTAACTCAAGAGCAATTAGTGCTTCATGTAAAATAATTTCTCGTGATATCATATATTTTTGATTTTAAATGGAAATAAATTTTCAAAAGTACATGTTCCGCATTTAAATTTTCCATTAAAAGTKCAGTAACCCACGCTGATCCGTGAAATTCTTCAATTGACAGTTTTCAGTTTCTTAGTGACATAGATACCCTGAAGGTTGGATATGAATTCCATTTTCCCATTTTATTTGAAGGCAGATGTCATATATATATTCAATTTATCATATTATCTATGACTGAATACCTGAAATTGATATTTTCGCTAGTGAAAATAACACATTCGAGGTGTCTCTATATATAGTGGAAGTAAGAAAAAARRTATTTTACGACATAATTTGTTTTCATATGTAATTATATGATAAAAAGAATATTACATGGTCGCTTTGAGATTTTATCTTCTCGTGTTGAAAATCTTTTCAACACTCGAAGATAAAATCCGTATCTCCGCGCGCCCATGTAATATCCTCTATATATATGTAATATATAATTCCAGCAGTTTGTTTAACTTTTCAATCCCCTCCCTGTTTCAATTGTTCTTGTTCCATTTCATTCAACCCCATTCCCAGTTCATTCAATCCCATTTCCCAAAAATACGGCTTATAACAGCACCTTCAGTACTAAAGATCAAGCTCAGTAAATTTTTGCTTGAAATTTACCACGAGTGATACATTGTCCTGAACAATAGTATAGATACGTACTGAACAAGGCAGCCCGTGATTATTTTATTTACATTCAAGTTAGCTATTATGTACAATTATCGGAGAAAAAGAAATGTTTATATACCTACATTATCTATATTATATTACATTATCTATGAAAGAATTTGAAAAAAGAAAAAGAAAGAAAGAAGGAGAGAAATAAACAAAGAAAGAACAGTCTCCTGGGTGAGCAACTTATGAAGTCAAATTTACTAGTTCGACTGAGTACAATAAGTGTATCCTCGAAGCCTTTTAGACTTAAAACTTGGTAACGATTTAATATTGTAAAGTATCTTAAAATATATATATWTTTTCCAGAGCTGCACATCAATATAATACCTCCACTTTATGTTATTTTTTTTATGTCGCAACAAAAACTCGAAGCATGCTTGTCTTAACAGAGCTGGATAAACGCTATAGAAGCCTTAAAATAACCTTTATTAAAATAAGCCAAATTATTATTGTTATTGTCATTATTATTTGCGTTTTCTCTTTTTCATTTCGGCAGAGTGCTATTGTTGCTATGTTACTTTAGAAGTCCGATGAGACCATTCGCCACATCGCAGGACTTCACATGCACATTGTACATAACAACGGAACATGTATTTTCCGGATTCAGTGTGGTCACGTTTTWTGACCCTACAAGACTAGCTTCGTGCTTCCTTTGAAAAAGGTGAGCTATGTCATATGTATACTACGTAATATTCATAAGCACTTTAGCGTCTGTACGCATATATATATTTACTCTCTCTATATATAACACATTTTCAAACTTTTCACATATAGAATGTCAAAATGGTAGTTCAAAATGCTCCTGGCTTTATTGTTTTGTTTTCTCACCTAAATGGAATTAGGCACTTAGGCCTCTTCCAGTCTCACCGTTTCTGTAACGTTTTTCAATCCCTTACGAACTGCGCAATATTCATCGGTTGAAAGTCATTTCTTGGGCTCCCTGTGACACAAGTGCTGAGCGTTGGGCGCCCTGTGTTCCTAGCTGTACACAGGCAGTCCTTTTTTATAAGAATTGACAGGGCAAACAAAAAAATTAGTACCCGCCATACACGTCAATTTACGGCTTACTAAATCAATAGCAACACTTAACGGCTCGCTCTTACTTCTAAATATACATTTGTATTAACGTTGTTACTATAGCAATAGCTAAGGCTGGAGAGCAATCTCGGCATTTAATTGGTGGGCTGATTTTAAGTCTAACTTGTTAAAATGACGCTGAAAAACGTGGATTTATTTTCTGCTTTATAGATTACTCGATCGCTCTTACTTCTAAATATACATTTGTATTAACATTGTTACTATAGCAATAGCTAAGGCTGGAGAGCAATCTCGGCATTGGTGGGCTGATTTTAAGTCTGCGCTAATAACTTGTTAAAATGACGCTGAAAAAGGTGGATTTATTTTCTGCTTTTACATTGATGTCTGGACAAATTTTTCAGGGACGGATTCAGAGGGGTGTCTTCTATTGCAGCGGCGGACCCCCTCTAACCCCCTCCCCCCTCCCTCTAACGTCGCAATTATCACGCCATTTATTACCAATATTGCACTTGCTATAATATAACAAAGTTTAAGCAATAAAAATGGATTACTGTGCGTTATCGGTGGAATTAAGCACGCGGGGATTTTGCCTGAGAACACGAAACGGCCGAAACGTTCACGGGAGCATCCCCAAGTGCTCTATTTCACCGACAATCCTTCTCATATAGCTTTTCATGTGATYTGGAAAGTTAGTTGTCTTCACGAGTGTTCAATTACCGGCGAAATAATCGCRCTCTTGKTCCAATSAGAGCGCGCGTAMTGTTATAAAAAAAATTGATAAAACTGAATACGTACTTCTCTGAAGCCATATCAATATTCTGTGCAAAATATCTACTCAATAGYACATCCTGTTCATCGTGGGCAGGGTCACATTTTTCAGAACCATGTCACAATAGCCAAGCAATAGAAGACGTTTTTAAAACTTAAAAGTGTTTGCATAGTCTGAGACAACTACTAGAGTGGTGAGCAGAACTCGGAAATCCGAGACGAAACCTTGTCAAGTACCAGACATATGTTTAACAGGAATATATTTATAGCTTTTATGAAAGTCTCTTTCATCATCATCATAACTCTTCGTGCCAGTAGGCGCATAAGGCCTAGGTTTCAGTAACATAAGAATTTTTACGAGGCAGGGCTGTTAACCCTACGCTCAACCCCAAACCTGGAGGACCAGAGGAAAGTCTTTTTGCTAAAATATATTTGCAAAGTTTAATATTCAAATATCTTTTGTAACTGATCAATATATAGTTTATTTATTGCTTCCAAAATTTACAATGGGATTTTTCCAAGCAGCCAATCAAAGCTCGCGTTATTTATTTCACTTGTGTTCAACAGAAATTCGCAAGTTAGCTTTCACTTTCTTTTTAGTCGAAATGAAAAGCCGAAGTGGAGCTTATATCGAAAGCGTGAAAATGTCAGTGAAACTGGATAAAACTGTATCGGCACAAAAGATTACTTAGTATTACTTAGATTACTTGCACACGATTTTGAAGTAAGTTTTTAATAGTTGTAACTATTTCACGTCTTACACTATATTCTCACTCCATTCAGATGATTGGGGAGAGACTGGCTAGGGTGGCTAGACATCTCACAATAAAATATAAAGTAGAAATGACAGAAGCGTTCATCCGAAACTGAAATTTCCTTTTGGYGCAGTCCTAAATGTGCCCATCGAATATTTTTTCTTGAATTAGGCACCTCCTGACTGACATTAAAATCYAATAGGATTTTTTATGAAATTCGTGTTTATTCAGCTTTTGTAACGTTCATTATGATGAAGGAACATTCAGCGCTACATTGAACTCTTCCCTAAAGAAATAATACCTTTTTCTAGAATTAACAATGTAAAAAAAAGTAATTAACACTTGTAGGTTTTAATTACTGATCATTATTGACCAAAATAGATGTGCGTTTTACTGGACAAGTGACACTGATTGACGGACAGTGGCCACATGATTTGCATATCTATTATTACGTAGAGCAACATGCCCAACAATGAGTCYCATTGCTTGTATTGGGGTTATTACAGTTGGGAATCCATTGTGCCGTTCCAAAGTTAGTAATTCGTATCCACAGTCGATTYGTTTCGAACAGTAGGTTACAGTGTTTAACCAGGACTAGTACACAGGGCAGYTGACACAGCTAAGAAGTCTCGTTAACCGAGCAACAGTAGTTCCGTGAATTTGGTAGGTAGGTTTTCAAGTGCTAACAATGTGAATATATAAACATTACTGATATTGTCTTTGAACAAATGACTTCATTGAAGGGGTCTTGAAACTATCAGGARTTTTCAAGTCCACTACGAGATATTTCTTTCCGCATAGGCGCTCAACAGAAGGAAATAAATAAATCGCTCTATAAAGTAGAAATTCAGCAGTTATAAGCTAGTGTAGCTAGTGTATCAACTTCGGTGTATTCAGTAGTTTTAAAYTGTTAAGGTGTTAGTGGTCTCATGACTTTATGCATAATAATTTAGTCGATATTGCATTGCAAAATAGTATTGGGTTTGTACATGGACTATTTCTTGTCGATGGACGTTATTGCAACAAATTCGCTTCGCTTCAGTGCATGATACTCAAAACCACCCATAAAGTTATGACACGTGACGATGCAGTCTGCGCACAAAACGCGAGTAGTATAAAATTATGCAGGATTGTTTACGATCTAAAATCCTAACAATATTGCATCGAGGAATCTCAAGAAAACTGATTAATAATTCAGTTAACCCTAAGGTGCAACAGTTTGTCTGGAAATCTACCTCGCTCAAGGCGTCACGGAACACACATAAACTTTAGGCTTTTTTATGACAATATGCTTTAGGTAAGATTGAATTTAGATCTGGAAGTTTTATTGAAGAATATGGATTAAGCGTGTTTCAGCCTGGACACTAAAAGCTCCCAGCGAACATTTCCACACATCCGGAACTTTCGAAACCGCATATTTTTCTCCCATTTAATCGTGTCATCCGCAACAGGAAGTTGCTAAAACTGTACTTGTAAAAAAAACCGATCATTTTCATGTGGAGGCATATGAATATTTAAAATATGATGATAAAAGTTACCTGTAAAAAGCGCGCAGCCATGGTAACAAACAAAAGTTTCAAACAGTCGAGCGCATGAAGCTAAAACGTACCCAAAAATACAAAGTTAACGTGAAAAAATAGTCACACAACCCAAAAAAATGATAAAATGAAACATATGTAAAAAGTTAATAGAGAATAATGTCAAGAAAGGGGCAACGAGTTCCTGGAAGGATTAATTTGTGATACTTTGTCAGGTTTTGTATTTATTCCACGTCAGTTGTTGAGTCGAGTTTTTTATTATTATTATAATTATTATCATTTATTATCAACAAACCCAGAGATTTTGTATTTTTATTTGTATTTTTGCAAATATTTTTTTTATGCGAAGAGTATTATTTTAGTCATTGACCGCCCATCTTTTCTTACTTTATATCCGGGGGGAGGGGGTACTCCCTATATTTGCTATACGGAGGATAGGGTAGGATAGGGTGCCGTAGGATAGGGTCCCTTTTCAGGAGCTCCAACTCCGGGAAAGGGTATCATTTTTTGCCCATTTGCCTGGGTTAGGGTAGTAGTTTTGTCTGCGATAGGGTAGGTTTTTTTTGTCTAGGACAGGGTTATAGTTTTATTGTCTGGGTAGGGTCGTGGAGTTTTGCCTGTGATCGTATCTGCTAGGCCACGCTTTCAGCGCCAAAATAATGTACCTTTGTACCTTTAGTCTGGGGTAGGGTATGTAAAATAAAAAAAAAATTGGTCTGGGATAGGGTAAGGGTTTTGAGAGTCGTGCGGCACACCCCCACCCAAGTTGGGGAGGTAGTACCCCCCCCCCCTCCCCCGTGCTTTACGTGCATAATTCTCTTCAGAAAACATATTTTCTTTATTTTTGCTTTATTATAAGATTTTTCCTTTGTTGTTTGTTCAGTTCAATTTRCCTCGCTCAGACTTTTTGACGAAGTTTTTCCCGTTTTGAGCGTGACATCAAAGATGTGTTTATTTACATTTTTAATTAAAATACCTGCTCGAAGTAATGCGTCAAACGTCATTATTTTACTTTTAATTATAAATCCAGTTATTGAACCTAAATAGGTACATGCTCAATTATTTTTTTAATTGGTTAGTTAGGAATATGTACATTAATAATTGATTGGTAATAGGACTCCAAAATGTCCAATTAAGAAATAAGGGAGTGCGGRCTTCAAGTGTAAAAAAATGTCAACCAMATCGTCCAACYATGAAAAAGCAAGTTAATCARAGTATTGCTYCGTCTGCCATCCCTGGATAAAGTCTAAGYTTTCCGTACGCAATAGGCAATGTGAAGCGACGCCATTTTGTGCAGCAAAGGATGATGGTAGTTGTAGTCCTCGYACTTTTTATGTCCGCCAAAATARTCCTCCCAACCAGTTTTTCCTTTTTCTAAGCGAACATAGAAGTATATGTGTCCGWTTATAAAAAGAAAATATAAAAACAGCTTTTAAGCAGATATTTTAGGAGCTATGAAWAGTGTGAGGGCTACAACTACCATCATGCCTTGCTGCACAAATGGTGTCGCTGCACATTGCCTWTTAGATTYACGTTTACGGCGAACCCCGAACGTAAAATTAGCTTTCAAGTTTTATTTTGAAAACTTCAAACAAAAAAATTAGAAACACTTCAAAAGGGAAAGTGATGCGATTGAGCACAAAAACAATATCGAATWTATATTCAAACCAAAATCAGGACGGAGCTTTAATATAGTTAAACAGTGATSACGTGATTCGCAGCAAACGTGAATCTAAACATCTGTTGTATATCTCCGCGCCTGACTTTTTTAGGTTGGTTTTAACCTTTGTCTTTTTTTTTTCCTTTTTTAGCGTTTACAGAATGGGATTTTTTCAAAGAAGAAGGCAGCGTCTCTTACTGATATTCATTTGTATTTGCACCTTTGTTAGTGTTATACTACTTAGCTTTAAATCGGCGAAAACCGGTGTATTAGAATTCCAAAGTTCGCGCGTCATACTTCGTAAAAGGGTAGAGAACGTCTTACAAACGGGGAAAACAAAATTGCAAGAATATCTTTTATTYACCGAAGCTCCAACGATTGACGCAGAAAGAGTTCAGCTAAAGGCGATAAATGCTTCATTCCAGTCCAATTTTGTGATTGTTGACTCAGTCAATCATGACATCCCTCCTGACAACCAAGCCTCTTTCGTCGTCGTCATTCCCCGTCGCATAATCAGAGGAACGAAATTGCACATTTTCAATAMAAACGATGAACAATCAGCCATGTTCGCTGGTAGTTTGCTAAGTAGTGTAAACAAATTTGATGGGCTGGCTTGCTTACCACGTAGTCTTAGAGAACTTGCTCTAAGCCAACATTCTGGGTCAAAGGAAGAATTAAAAGGTTTATTCAATAAAACTTGGTGCAATTTTAAAAAGAGAGATTGGAGTATCCAAATTAGAAATAATGGTAAACTGGAAGCATTTCAATTCAAAACGCCCGATGGACCTTCGCATGATAGACTACACAACAGACCTCTTAGCTTGATTCAGATGTGCAACATCGTTAATGAACCATTCGTCATGAAGAAAGAATCGTTTATAAAATGGAGAGGCCTACGACACGATTTTGGAAGACTTTCTCTCTTAGATTTCTTTGTACGCACAGGTGGACAACTAAAGATTGGAAAGTCCGCCGATTGTTTTTATAGTGACGACCTTTTTGAACTTGACAGAGGTAGGCTGAACGATGAGGGAGATTTTCCCGAATACTCGAATTTTGGCGTCGCCCATAATGTTCTTCGTATCATAATGGAAGACAGAATTGAATGGACAAAGTGTGTGGCTACAGATAAACTCTGTAAAGAAGAACCATATCGTGGTCCYCCAACTACACTTCCTGGAATTGCTCAGCCTATTTGTTGTAGTGTGATGTTAGGTCAGATTTTGAAAGATGCTGTTGCGGTTTTTAACAAACTTGGGATTCAGTACCAAGTTGTTTTTGGGACCTTGTTGGGWGGAGAGCGCAGTGGAGCAATCATTCCCTACACTCGCGATATCGACTTYACTCTCGAACCTAAATATGGAGGAAATCAAGAAAGTTACGCCACTTTGCAGAAACACTTTGGCAACAAATACTTCATTTCAGGRCATTCTTTTATAGATTTTCCGCGGTTGGTACCACTTATGCCAGTCCATTTGAATATCACGACTGCGCCATTCTTTAAAGACGADTTTGACCTCGAAGGAGATGCCTTCTTCAGTAGAACAGTAAACGAAACARTGCAGGAATTTTTACCTTTTAGTGCAACTGTATGGAATACGAGGGCTTACGCCGACTTTTATGGATCTGCTAGACGGCACTGGAATGGGTCATCGACTACAATTATAAACGGAGCTAAATATACCACAACAAAAGACAAAAATGCTGACTTAATAAGATATTACGGAAGTGAYTGGAAAAATCCTGCAGCCAATTCTTTTTCTGGTCATTCAGACTCAAAATCGAATGGCGCGCTATATGTCAGTCGTCGTCGTAAATAATAAGCTAGACCTTTACTCTATGACGTAAATGCTTACGATGTAAGCCRGAAGTGAATGGGCTTCTCCGAAGATGTTGGTTCTGCAGAACAAAAGCGAGGCTATGGCTAGGTCTCGTGTTCTCAATAGATGTAGAAAATTGCTCTGCAATCAATAACGTTACGCTTTGATATCATATTTTGGCTGCAAAGTGTTTACTAAGGCCGATTTAGACGGCACAACTTTTGCCTACAACCATCGCATGCAATCTGCTAAAGTCATCCTTACAACATGGCTACAACTGTCGTGGAGCTATTGAGCAATTGTTTTAAATCCCTACGACAGTTGTATCCATGTTGTAAGGACGACTTACGTAGGTTGCATGCAATGGTTGTAGGCAAAAGTTGTGCCGTCTAATTCAGTTAAAGTCTATTTCTGTCGAATGCTATTTAGTCACTGCATCATCACAGTTTTTCATATCGTTTTATTTTTGGTATTTTATGAAAAGTTCTCTTTRCTACTTCGACGATAATTCCTGAATAGGCATGACTAAGTCGAATGCACTTTTCCCTTTTATTTTTTTGCTTGCTCAGCAATTTTCTTCATCCGCCAATGTGAATTCGTGGAAATATTACTACGAAGCCAAAGCCTGGCTTTGGTAAAACATCTTTGGAAAAGGCCATTGAAAAAAATAGAAAACAAAGAAATGAAAGCGAGGACCTTCAGGAATTAAGATGGAAAATATCTAGGGATTCCATTTGTAAGAACATTAACTTTTCTTGGTGATGTCCCTCTTGTTAATAATTTTAATGAGATTTATAGGTACTACCACTGTAGGCTACTTTGACATAGCTAAGGTAAGGGTTAGATCTGTATGTGGTGTAACTGCTACAACTGTTGAAGCGATAGTTAGTTCCTTGATTTACAAATGGTTCTAGTGTTAGAATAAGAGATTTGTTTTCCCAGGTTAGGATAGTCAAAATTTCCCCTCAATACTTTGTACGTTACATACTCCAGGGTCGTGCGCAGGTTGGTTTTGAGGGGGGATGGGTGGGAGGGGGGGCTTTTAGCGGTTTCAGGACTATCAAGAAGGCGATTGACTTTGGGTCAAGACTTCGGGTGCCAATGAAGRGKTTTTGTCAGTTGCGGAACCCCTGGATCTACCCCTTGCGCACGCCYCTGTTTTTTCTTTGTTTGTTTGTTTGTTTTTCGGATACAACGGATCATCGTTAGCGCTATAGCGCTGACTGTTATATCTGGCTTATATTTTTATCTAAATTTAAAAATTGTCATCTTTACCCAGCGTAATTCTTTGGTATTTATGATCACACTGATTTCTCTAGGAAATTATGGTGTATATATATATGTGGGATGGCCTCCTCCCCAGGCGTCTCTCCCTTTCCGCTCTTTCCTACTCTTGGGCTTGCTGTCCTCAATACGACCGAGGGAAACTGTGATTCTGCAGAAACAGACTGTCGCAGAAACACCKTTTCTTGTTGTRRGCCATGGCCCCTGCTCGGCCAAGACGATACCAGAGAATTATCAAAAAGGCAAAATGAAGTGTTGCCTTCGGAGGAGGCTATATATGGGTTATTTATGGGAATTTTAGCCAGAGAAGAAATAGAAGAAGAATTTAAAGAGAATATTACATATCACTAGTGAATCAATTTTATATAATAGCTGAATAAAATTGAATTGAATTCATGGATAAGTATATTTTTAAAATCATGGTGAAGCGCCTCTTATTTTATACCTCGCGGAGATCTCTGAAATTAAGTCGGCTTCTGAATACTGTTATCTAGCTACTGCAWAGTGTATTCCAAGATCAAAATGCAAGGATGGCCGAGCGGTAAAAACGCCGGTCTATCACCGCTGTGGTCCTGGTTCGATTCCTGGTCCGGGACTATATGTGATTTGAGTTTGCAGGCTGGTTCTCTTCCTTGCTCCGAGGGTTTTTCTCCAGGTTTGCTGGTTTTCCTCCCTCAGTCTAAAAACTAGCTGGGAGGAGTGCCGTGTAGTAAAATAATGAATGTTGAGGTAGTGAGTATGAGTGAATATATAGAGGGCCACAAGTTTATTAGTCTAAGGACTATTACGTGCTACCCTCTCAAAATAGAAGACTTTATTTATTGTGGGTTACAAAATGGAAAAAAAGTCGGAGATTAATTCTCGCTGGGAAATTATTTTTTCCGAAATTATTCCCAAAGGTCCTTTCTCCTGGAATAACCTCCTTCTAAGCACTGTACCTTTCCTTTATTTCTATATCATATATCTCATAGTGCCATGTAGTCTCTCGCAGACGTTCTTATTGTGGGGTGGGGGACAGGGAGCCCTATTTAAGTACCATGTGGTCCTTATATTAACAGGCTTCGTGCAAAATTTTCACTGCAAAATTCAAGGACTTTTCAAGTACTTTTTAAGCACAAAATGCGATTTTCAAGGACTATTTTTGAAGATATTTTTTGATGTTTGCCGAATGTTTCCATTGGCGATTTTCAAAAATAGCCACATTTCAATGCAAACGGCAAAAGGTAATATGTTAATTTCATCAGATTCAATGAGCTTTCCAGGAGTTTTAGCGATTTTTCCTATTTTCAAGGATTTCAAGGGGTAGCGCGAACCCTGTATTAATGTAATTTTGAAGTAAATTGCTTTCCAATCAAAGGTACCGCCGCTTCATGATACTCTGAAAGCACCTGTCTTGCAAAAGGATTGACTGATCAGCTTCTTTATCCTAACTGACAAACAAAAAATGAAGATGATTTCTGTATGTCTATGCATCTCATAAACACGCAACATATTGTTTCCAATGAGATAACTTTATCTACAACCGGTCCCTTTTCTAAAAAAAATGCGTTCCTACTGCAAGTTGCATTTTTCTTTGCAACTGCTCGAATTTACAGCTTTTGCACTGGGACCCTCTGGTTCTGAATGATTAAGTTCAGCCACAGTAAACATAAGGTTGTTCGGTGAGCCCGGCCAAATTGAACGCTATCAGACGTAATAATACATAATAATATTTTTTTTACAATTTTATTTATCAAACAACATATCAAACACACACACGAAAAAAAAAAACAATTTGCAGCTTTTTAATGATAGCACAATAAGTGCGTTTCTCTCGATATTTTTCCTAATATACTATTTACAACTTCTTTGAAAAAACACTACTGTAAGTGTGTTTCTTGATTTTTTTGTTTAAAATATTTATAGAATAATGCGCAAGCCATTCTACTTTCCATTTCCCAGCGCCATCTTGAAAAAATAGCCGTGTCTTTGCATTGAACTCGACACGGCGTACCGTTGAGCGTGCAATGATTGAAACCTGTKAATAATTATCTGTTGGTGTAAAAGAAGATTTCTATCATTGCCCGCTCGACCATCGTCTCACTTTTAAAGATGGCGCAGGGAAACGTAAAGGAGACTTTCCAAGCAAACAGTGAGGTGGTACAATATGGCCTTGGAAACATCCCATATTTCACCTTTAAATGTTTAGGTCAGACACTCCTTATGAAATATTTTCTTTGAAGTGTTAACTACTGAGAATTGCTTTTTAGCTGCAAGCTCTGAATCTTTTTCGTCCTCAGAGATGTTCAGTAAGGGCCTGTTCACACTACGACATAAGCATGCCGAACAAAAGAAAAGACGCAAAGGAATGAAGTCAAGCGTGCATCGATTTATGCATAGCGAGTAACATAAGGCAGACCATAAACTACTTTCAAAGACAATTGGATAAACAGAGAAAAACACTTTCCTTTTTGTTTTCTTTTAAGGATTAAAATCCTTAAACCTTTGTTTATGGAGCTTTGTGCTTATGTTGCAGTGTGAACTGGCCCTAAGGCTTAMAGATCTTCTGGAACACTGTGTATCAAATAGACCTCATAGGAAAATCACGATGATACCCATCTAGTGTATAAAAGTAAAGCTCAATCTCGAGACCYGAGTCTTCAAGGCTAAATATCAGCGGTTTGCTAACGCTTTTCAAAAAGACATTATCATTGCGTATTGAAGCCCAGTCTTAATCCAACAACAAATCTTCMGCTTGCCCTTCGTCTGATTGACTGTCAAACGTTTTTAAAATAGGACTCCTCCAGCCTCTACCGTAGTATGTTATAAGCTCATTATTCTTTGCCTTTAACGTATCGTATTTAACTCCGTTGATAACTGTCGTAGACGACCCATTCCAATAGTAYTGTCCAGAGGTTCTGTAAAAATCGGCATACGTTCTTSTATTCCATTCAGTCTCACTAAAAGGTAAAAWTTCCTGCACTGTTTCGTTTACYGTTCTACTGAAGAAGGCATCTCCTTCGAGGTCAAAMTCGTCTTTAAAGAATGGYGCAGTCGTGATATTCAAATGSACTGGCATAAGTGGTATCAACCGCGGGAAATCTATAAAAGAATGTCCTGAAATGAAGTATTTGTTGCCAAAGTGTTTCTGCAAAGTGGCGTAGCTGTATTTATTATCTCCATATTTAGGTTCGAGAGTGAAGTCGATATCGCGAGTGTAGGGAATGATTGCTCCACTGCGCTCTCCWCCCAACAAGGTCCCAAAAACAACTCGGTACTGAATCCCAAGTTTGTTAAAAACCGCAACAGCATCTTTCAAAATCTGACCTAACATCACACTACAACAAATAGGCTGAGCAATTCCAGGAAGTGTAGTTGGAGGACCACGATATGGTTCTTCTTTACAGAGTTTATCTGTAGCCACACACTTTGTCCATTCAATTCTGTCTTCCATTATGATACGAAGAACATYATGGGCGWCRCCRAAATTCGAGTATTCGGGAAAATYTCCCTCATCGTTCAGCCTACCTCTGTCAAGTTCAAAAAGGTCGTCACTATAAAAACAATCGGCGGACTTTCCAATCTTTAGTTGTCCACCTGTGCGTACAAAGAAATCTAGGAGAGAAAGTCTTCCAAAATCGTRYCSTAGGCCTCTCCATTTTATAAACGATTCTTTCTTCATGACGAATGGTTCATTAACGATGYTGCACATCTGAATCAAGCTAAGAGGTCTGTTGTGTAGTCTATCATGCGAAGGTCCATCTTTTGATTTGAATTGAAATGCTTTCATTTTACCATTATTTCTAATTTGGATGCTCCAATCTCTCTTTTTAAAATTGCACCAAGTTTTATTGAATAAACCTTTTAATTTTTCCTTTGAATATTTGAACTCTTCCTTTATGTCATGATTCTTATTCAGTAAAYTGTATTTCTGTGGAAGACAAGCTAGGCCATCTAAATCMCTTAAMGTGTTCAACATTTTCGCGGCAATCATCGCTGCTCTTTTGTCTTTTTGGCTTATCACCTTTTCTGATTTGTTCCTTTTCAGCGCGCGGGGAACTACAAGAACAAAATGTACATTGGATCTAGAGTYCATTAAAAATGTGCTGTCAACAGWATCGGTAACGTCGAATGTGGCCTCGAAGGAACTTTCAAGAGGTTTGTAMATGACACTCTCGATCTTCAATTTGTTCAAATCCATCTCCATTCGTATGGAATTAACTTTTGGTCTAGTGGGTTCACTGTGCGGTGGTGTTGTTTTCCTTGCTCCAAAGAGGTCTTTCATCTTTTTCATCAGTGTTACGGAATTTAAAGACACAAAGCTACTGTTGTAGCCATTGCTTTTGGGCATGCTCGGAGTATTTTTGAAATTCACATTGACAGCTGTCTTCTTGGTCTGGTTGCTGTCATGCTGAGATTTTWCTCTTTTACTTCTCGTTTCCATAGTTTCCGAGGTGTTTTTCAAGGAGATCTTTGATTGGATAAAGAGTGCAGATCTGTTAAGTTGGTTTTCATCAATGGGTGCCATGAAGTTTTCAGTCATAGAAAGCCATTTTAGACATACAGCTGATAGGATGATCACAACAAGCGCCACAAGAACTCGAAATCTGAATATCTTTACTAACATTGTTACTTCTGGAAGGGAATGAATAGCGTAATCAKAAAATGACGTTAGGGGAAAACAATCCAGGCAGGCCTGCAATCAACCTCGTTACCAGCCCAATTATCCCTTCCTTTGCGGTWATCTTTGGAGTGGAGTCTGCGAACGACTCCATATATGAATAATGTCCATATGTATGGCTCTGATGTACCTATAGAACAAGGCTCTCATGTCCCTATAGACGGTTCATTAATTATATATTCAATCATATGTACATATACGTGGTTATGTCGTAGCATATGATATCACAGAAGTTCAGGTTCACTCAAGCGAATTGATCTCATGGCTTAATGATTAGGTTTAGGAAAAATATAGGGTCAGGCAATTCATAGCGCTGGTCTTTGAAAATTTTCTAAGGATCTAAGTGACTAASTTCTTCTCTGCATATTTGGGACATAACAGCCTTCTATGTGGTGTACATCAGCGCGGTGTACATGCATGAATTAAGAAATATAAAACGGCGCGCGTGTCTCTGTCCTCTGATATAAACACGATGGGAATTGAAAAACACGAGAGAAGCAAGCTTAGGAACACGAGCGTAGGTTGAATAGAATAAATTACATGTATCTATTTTGTCTATTCATGTCACGGGATTGTATCATTTATTTTAGCCTGAGTTATGTCTATCATTGTTTGTAATTGTTCTTGATTGTTCTCTAACAGTTGTTTTAAAATCGTGAGTCTTTTAGCTTTCTCTTTTATTATTAACAGTACTTTCACTCATTCCCGCAGCAATCACGATACAATTTGAAAACTCATTCTAGCTTCAAACGTTTAAACTCCAAGTTTATTTAAGACAAGGAGGTTTTTTCATACTATTTTCACTTTTAAGTGAAAATAGTATTAAAACTTGTGTTAATTGACAAACTATAGAGTAAACACGCAAGTAAGAGCGTTTCACTTACCATCTAGGAAAGTCAGGAAATATAATCCACAAGAAATACCGCTTCGTCAACACTGAATCCTCTATCAGATATCAACATATCCTTATCGTAGATGCCATGCAATCATAGTTGTAACCTAAAGATACATCCATTGTTCGATAGATCACTAATTGAATTTCTATTGGCAAACATGAGGCTGGTTGCGTGAATAATAGATTCGCCCYTCTTCGYTGGCAGTTATTGTAAAATCGATGTAGAACTTTCCGACTCTGTTTTTGGCTTTAATCATTTCCCTTTTTTATACGATCTCAGCAGATCGCCATTACACTGTCCTTTCAGAGCAACTTTTGCGCCGGTATATACAATGGACAAACCACTGATCAATCCACCATTATAGTTCTCATTAATATTCACACTGGAAGATTCACAGCAGGTAGCGTGGTTTCATCTATTGAAATGTAAATGTTTTTATGCAWTAGTTTAGTAAAACCCCAGCCCCCAGGGAGAGCCARGGTATTAACAGCCTCCTTTGCAGGYAACTCTTCTCCATGGGGCTCCTGTGTTAAGGCAAAAAACGTTCCGTAGGTTGTTCCTAATCTCTCGACACCAGTTCTTCTCGGTCAAGATTATGAACACAGGAAGACCAAGATTAGAAAAAAAAATCCGTTTCCGTTGGAGTAGCCTGCGAAGGAGCCTTTACAGCTGTAACATATTGCGCATTTTGTATGACTGTGCAAAAAAACAAAACAAAAAACAAAAAAACAGTACTTTCGCGCTGTGACCGTACCGTGCCGTAGCGGTGATGTATTGTTAAATCTTTATTTTTATTTAGAATCCTAGAAGGCGAGGTTCCGTGACCGTGCCGTGCCGTGCCGTTTCCGTGTTGTGATCCGTGCCGTTGCACAGCCACACGAAATTCGCTCTATATCCGAACTGAAACTTTAAGTTTTAAGCAATTACGTCTAAATCATCCGTTTACCCTCCTATTTTGGTCTCCGAGGGCCGGGGAAATGCCCAAGTAGTGCCCGGGAGTTGGAGCGCCGTTGTACATAGCGGACTGATTTCTGTATACAATATCCGGATACGTACTTGCGGGATTTTTTTCCAGTATCACATAAATAAGTGCTTTGCCCACTTCATCAGCTTATGTGTGCAAAGTGTCAACAGTGCCTAACTCAATGTTACAGCATGCAGTGTACAGTGACGTCATTTTGTGCAGCAAAGCATGTTGTTAGTATTCACAGGGTTCGTGCAAAATTTTCACTACAAAATTCCAGTATTTTCAAGTACTTTTTAATCACAAAAATGCGATTTTCAAGGACCATTTTTAAAGATATGTTTTGATGTTTGCGAATGTTTCCAGTGGCGATTTTCAAAAATAGCCACATTTCAATCCAAACGGCAAAAGACAGTATGTCAATTTCATCATATTCAAGGAGTTTTCCAGCGATTTTTTCCCATTTTCAAGGAGTTTTCAATTCCAGGAATTTCAAGGATTTCAATGAGTAGCGCGAACCCCGAGTGCCTAACTCAATGTTACGGCATGCAGTGTACAGCGACGTCGTTTTGTGCAGCAAAGCATGTTGGTAGTATTAAATTCCCGCGCGCTAAATTTTCAAAATTTTACAGTGAACCCACTCGCTGCGATCGTGGGTCCACTTCACGAAATTGCKCACGGTTTTTCGTTTTATGTCATCTTATTTACACACTCTTGACGTCATAAAATGTTCAAAACTCAAGTGGACCACATTTTGACGCATTTAATAAGTCTAAAAATTAACAAAAATCTATTTTTCTCTCTCTATCTTTCAACCGAGTGCGCGCGAGATACGTGATGGTATCAGCACAGCGTGCATGTCCTCTTATTGATACACCATTATCAGCCAATCAGCGCGCGAGCATTTACACAAGTGTGGTAAAATACTCCAATTTCGAGTTCTGGTTTGCTCTGTGTTAGCCTCAAAACCAAGTAAAATATTCTTTTGTTTTAATAGTAGCCCGAGAAAATGCATGGAATTTGTGAAGAAAAACAATGAAATTTATTTGAAATCTCACACTTTTATTCTCACAATTAGGAATATTTTGCGCACAAATGAGGCTAAAACACAGAGCATTGCAGAATTCGAAACTGGATTATTGAGTTTGAACATTCTATGGAGTCAAGAGAGGCAATAAAAGGAGCTACAACTCAACACCATGCGAATTTGTTGGTTATGTTTTCTATGTGGGTACGGCACAACTTCTTCGATTTTCGCAAAAAACACGGCTCAGGAGGACTGCTTCAGCGGACATGAAAAAATTCGAGAGCTACAACTAAAACTACGAGTTTTTGCAAAAAACAATGTCCCTTCACATTGCYTATTGTTATCATCTGATACCAAATTAAACACAAGTTACTAAATATTTAGCATCTGTACCGCCTTTTCTCATTAAGWATGTTGAAGTTGAACTAATAAATAGAGGATATTACATGGGCGCGCGTAGATACGGATTTTAYCTTCGAGTGTTGAAAAGATCTCTCACGAGTGGGCGTAACTTCAAAGTTCGTTTACATTTTAATCTTTTCTTTTCTACAAAATCTGGGCAGATTGCGCACATTACGTCTAGTACGAAACTGAAAGAACGAAACGTCATGACGGAATGCATGTAAAACTTTGAAGTATCTACATAGTGATTTCTCTAAAGGCATCTCAGATGTTGTTTCTGCTGATATAAGGGACCGGTTTTCCGCATTGCTCTCATTTGTGTGGCGTTTTTCGGCTAAGATATCGGTCGGTTACGAAAATTCGCCAAATTTAGCAACGCGGTGCAGGGTTCCAATGAACTAATATACGAATTTCGATAGGGAATATTGCATATCATAACTCACCCACTCCCAGCTCTTTTTCGGCATAACCTCTTATGACTCCAACAYCCTCCCTTTCACAGTAATTTAGAACTTACTGACGTAGAGTTTTTTTCCAAATATAATTTAATTATTTCTAAAAAGTGGTCGGATAATAGCGGCGATTGCACGACCAGAATGAGCCATGGGCTTTGCTAACTGATGGAAAATAGCTGATTTATACTGTACACCAATCTAAGATATTCAGTGTAAACATTGATTCTATTTAGTCTCTCCATTTTCAACGAAGGCGAAGCCAACAATTGAAATTTTTCATGTGAAAGAGAGTATCCATTGTCCCCTTCGGTCGTGGAATAWTCGCCACTCCCCAACGTTTTATAAAGATCTTATAAGGCACACAATTGCAATCTTTTGCAGAAAGCAGAATTTTAATTTATGCAATAAAAAAACAACTTTTCCCTTTTTGACAAAGATTTGAAGTTTTGCAAATAGTTMAGTTTGTTCAATAAAGCTGTCAATGGGTCAACAGGCTGACTCCAGTATGATAAGATAGCTCTATTATTAATAAGTCTTCCCTGCAGCTCACTATAATAATGCTAAACAGGTTGTCCACGTAAAATCAAACTTTCCTAAATGATACAAACTCTTCACTATAATGTATAGAGCCAAGTATAGCAAGGGATGTAGTCTCAAGCCATTCAACTTCTGTGCACTTAAAATGGCATGTCATATTAATTTGCAATAACAGAAAATTCAATAAAAAAAACTTAAGATACACGGTGAAAGTGAAAATGACATTATTAAAGACATCCATTCTCATTTGTGATTGGCAAAAAGCTTCCGCAAATCCAGAGTACTTCTAAAATGACTCAAAAATACTTGGGATATGAATAATATTGTTCAACCAGAAGTTATACTGTTTCCAAGGATATGTTAGCCCCATGATTCTAACCTTTGAAATCACTTACAAGACATTTTGGCATCATCAATGCCACATCCTAGTATGCGAGTGTACACGTTAGATGAATGCAGTAATTAAAYCGAGTATAATCATTCAATAATCACTTAAATAGACCTAATTGTACGTTGCTATAAACRTTTCCACCCAATTCAAACCACCYGGGACTAYGTTTCATTGTTTGTTGTATATTCATTTCACAGATGAWTTCTTAGAAACAATAGTTATTTTTCAAACAGGATTTGAATTGGTTGATAACGTACATTGCAATGCGTTAGGTCTATTATGCAGAGTTTTTGCACCACTTGAGTATCCTAAGAGTAAAATAAAATAGKACTTGATTCAAAATCTGTGTACAAATTGGATATGCAATTGAGGCAAAATCTCTGCATAATGCCYCTTTCTCTAACTGGTTATTGAAAACACATATGGACAACCTATACATAATCTACAAAGTCTAACGTGGAAAACCTAATAAAWGGAAAGTTTATTCAAACTTGATATAGCCAGTGCCAGCAGGGTAGCTGGAACTGTAAGCACCRGGATCACTCGATGAAGTGTATACAGTGCTATCAGTGGTGTAGGATGGAAAACTTGTCGTAAGTGTACCGCTGCCATTATAGGTAGTTGGGTAGCTTGTGGAATAACTAGCAGCTGTTGAAGCTGCTGGCTTAGTTGAATAGCTGGCTGGGTAGCTGGGCGTGGTAGGGTAGGTAGTGCTGCTTGCTGCAGCATTTCTATAGCGGGCATTTTGCTCCAGTAGCACTTCATTAGTTGCCTTCAARTCAGAGACCTGCTTCTGTAGCTCAGCYAYTTGTCGACGCAGTGATTCATTCTCTTCTTTGACATGTGCGAATTCACCATCACCAAATGACTCTCGACGACGCTTCCTGGGAAAGTCATCATATCCACCGTAACCCCCATAATCATCYTCGTATGCATGTCGGTATTTACAAGCAGACCCTCTTGTGCACTTATTGTTGAGAAAGTCCTTGCAAACAGGGTCACTACGACCTGCACGGGTTTGGTAACCCCCACCGTAGCCCCCTCTCATAGGTGGACCCCCATGCATTGGTCCAGGGCGTCGTGCTGGCATCTGACCAGTACGTAGGTATGTTTTCTCTTCCGTAATAGATATATGCATGTACTTGCAAGTAGCTCTGTTGCACTTTCCATTTTGGAAATCACGGCATATCATTGGACTGCTCTCAACCTCTTTTCCAAGYCCTTCAGGATGACTAAACTTGCATTTTCCTCCTCTGTTACACACCCCCCTCTGGTAATCTCTACAAATCTGGCCATCCATGCCAGAGTTGCCTGTGTCCAATTGGTCATCGTTGTTGTTGGTATCGCTGGATAGTTTTTCTTCACTTACAATAGATTCAGACATGTTTTCTGTGCAATATTCTAGAGTCACTTACTTGAGCGCAAGGCTGTATTCTGTGAAATGAATGCGCTTCTTGGACTTTTAACCAGTGTCTAAGGCTGCCGCTGCTGCGCTTCTTGCCGCAAAGATGACTGCAATCCTAGGCTCAAGCTGTTTTGCCGCTGTTGCACAATGGCGCAATGGAAGCTGGACAGTATAAAGGCGCAAAAATTAAATGTTAGCATGTGTGTAATATAACTTTGAAATAATGTCAGCATTGAAAAAACAACAACAACAACAACACATAAACAGAGTTTTGCACAAATTAAGTAATTGTGGTTAATTTTCATTTAAAAAAGTGTCTAAAAGTAAAAAATATTTCACTGATGTGATTTTTAGATATCAATTGGATTGAATATTAACAAAAGATTAACAATTTTCAAAATATTAGCATTTGAACAAATTACATTAGATTCATCTAATTCAAAAATATGTCGATAGGTTGCAAAAGGTTACATCACCAAAGCTAAGACCAAGAGGAAATAGGGTAAGACAAATCTTACGAATATAATTATGTTTCAAAGGCAAAAGATTGTCTGCACTGAATGAAATGACATTTCTCTATGGGCAATGCTATGATATAACATGTTAATGGAAATATGATTTGAATTTGGAGTACTCATATATCACTCTGGTGCAAGCTACCATGATATCACCTTTTTGCTATCTGACAATGTTTTTTTAAATTAGGAGTATAATGTATATAGAGATATCAAGACTTAAACAGAACACTTGCAAAACACTGTTTATAAAATAGAAATGATTTAAAAAAAAAAAAACAATAGAAAAACCTATTATAAAAAATCAATAATGTATTTGCTACCAGAATACATCAAAATGCATTGCAGAGACACTACTGAAACAGGGACCACTTAAAACTAACCAATCAGATAGCAGGAAATCAGGCAGTGCAAGAACATATAACACCATTATCTAATATCAGTTACTACACGCTCATGCTGATGTGATTGACATATATATTAAAATCTTGAGGGCTCAAACTCAAGATTGCAAAGTGATTGGTTAGTGAAGTTGTTAAGAAGACGTAGCCCTTGCTATAGTAGCCATACCATAATATGTGCACTACACAAATTACTAGTGACTTTCATATTACAATTTTAAAGGATTTTCAAACAACGCTTTGCCTCAAGTGCCTAAGTCCTGCTTCATATCAGCCAATTCACAAATAAAAATGTTGAATTCAAWCTAATACTTTAGATATTTATTTATAGAATAAAAAACAAGCACCCTAACGCAATGCAAAATTATCTACGTAAAATTAATGTAAGAGCTACATTATTACAAGTCTCACACATCTTTTTTACAAATCAGAGTAGTATTTAAGCCTTATCAGCTGCTCTATCTATTAAGCTACATACAGTTAGAAAAGCTAATGTTAATTAAGCTTAAGCTTACATGTAAAATCTGCTTTTGTTTTGAGAAAATTGTGGTTTTTGTAAAAAAATCGGCATTTTTCAAAATAAGCTAACTAAGAAATCTAATATCTTAAGAAAGATAAAATAGTCCTATTACATRGATACAAAGATCTACAGAAATGTAAGAAGAGAAACTAGCAAATTGCGAAATACTCCTAGGGTTTGATGTGATAGGTTTGAATGTTTATGAATTCAAAATTAGCATGACGAAACTTTTGAAGACAAGTTGTTTGATGAACAGATTTCATCTTAAGATAAAAAATTTATATCTTTTAAAACTTTCTTTAAAAATGCAAAAGCAAACGAGGAAAGACTCAAAGAGGCTAAACCTAAAAGAACTATTAAGTTATCAAAGCCGAGCTTGAGTTCTACGATTCGCCACGCTAATATTTCTAAAATTTACCGTTCAAAAAAAACATGCTTTAAGATAAAAATAAGCGCATACTTTGCCTGAATCCTTTAGAAAGCGATGTGTGAATTCCTCTTTACGTTAAATGCCGTTCAACGACAACAACTTCTTCAAGTCGTTGATAATTTTCGCTTGCTCTCAATGGGGACAAGATGGCGGCAACTAGAGCACGCGGTTCTTGTGCATACATTA